ACTAGTTATAGATTCTAAGATTTTTTTCTTCTAGACGGAAGCTCACAGACTGACATTATTTACCTTCTACATGAATAGATTCTCTGTTCATTCGTCCCTAAATGATTCAAATTAGTATTAAGAGCTTCATTGATTTCTTCGAAAAAATCCGTCGAATATGAAAGTAGAGGAGATGAACGTGGTGTCTTCTTTTTGGAACAAAAAATTCTAATCAGATAAATTCGAAACCGGTATTTTTACGTTGAATTTTTCAGTGGATGGATTTATATGAGATATAAATGGTCTCAATCAAGGATGAGTTCTTCATGTTTTTCTACATACAAAATCCATTTGAACACTTGCTGATCAAATGTTACCGTAAGTTCATCTAATTGATGTTCAATAAGATAAGATAAATATTGAATTACTGGTTCAATTGATCCACATCGTGTAAGAATAAGTGATTTAAGATTAGAAAAATGAAGAATTTTTTTATCATTAAACAACCATTCATAACAAAGATCAGAAGCAATCGAATTTGTTCCATCAAAATGAATACGTTGAGTAGAAGAAGAAAGAGACGAAGAATTTAAAATCAATGGAAATAATATTGAACAACATTTATTATAAGATAAAGGGTGGGGTGTGGGTGTGGATGTGGGTATGTGGGTGTGGGTATGTGGGTGTGAGTATGTGGGTGTGAGTATGTGGGTGTGGCTCTTCTCTTCTCGCATTCACACCCACACCCACACCCACACCCACACCCACACTAGGTCGATCTATGTTACTGTTGTGAATCTTCTTATCCACTCCATTTCCGTCATCACTTAAATGGCCCGGGATGTATGTATTGTTGTAAATGTAGAGTTCAACGGTATCCCGAGGTGATCAAAGAACATGATTGCAAATTAGCTATTCAAGTACGGAATTGTTCTTATACAAAAAGTCAGAAAAGAGCTTGTGTAGTTAATGAAGATGTAGCAAATGAATGCAAACATGATACAGATAAGTTTACAAAAAATGTCAAATATTATGTGGACAATTATTCATTACCACGCACAAAAGAACGTGTGGTATTATCATTAAAGCATATATCAAAACAACTCATATGCAATCATGTTTCTCGGGCTAAATTAAATCAATTAAAGTTACCGCAAACGCTAGTCAACTATCTTGATGTACCATCATATATCTATACGAACATTTAACATTTTTCGTGTTATTTCCTAGCTTGAAATGCTAAGATCCGTAATTATAAAATAAAACAAAAAAAATTCCATGTACCTGTTGATGGATGTCGATCTCAAATTAAACAAAGTATAGAAGCACACATCTATCATATCTACAGAGGAGAAAAGTATTGCAGTAGTTTAGTATTCATTCATACTACTCAATTGTTGTAATCTTTTTGAGAAGTTCAGTGTACATGAATGACTGATTCAATTGATCCAGATTTTGATCAGATGAGATCTCAATCATGGGGGCAAATACAACTGTTTTCTCAAATAAAGAATAGGGGAAGAGAGAAATACGATAGAGACGGTGTATGTGTGTGTGATTGCTCAGCTATCCGGCGACGCTCTCTCTCTATCATGGACCTAGATATATGTGGAAGAAGTAGATAGAAAGTTTCATAGGAATGTGTTTTGCATTGATCTCATGAATGTTCATTAGTTCGATATTCACTTTCCTTTTTTAAACACAAAAAAAAAATTCATCAGATGTATGCTATGACAGACATGTACAGTTCAGCTGAATGTCTTAACCTGGGATGCGAAGATTAGTAATGCTCGTCGTGTTAATTGGCGTCTTGATTTTCTTCCGGAGCATCGCTTGTCCACCGCCTTAGGTTGTCTCGAAGGAGTTGTATGATGAGTGTGCTGTCTTTGTACAAGTCTTCGCTGAGCGTGTCCAGTTCCGCAATGGCATCGTCAAAAGCCACTTTGGCGAGCTGGTAGGCACGATCTGGCGCGTTCAAAATCTCGTAATAGAAAATAGAGAAGTTGAGGGCAAGGTCAAGTCGAATGGGATGAGTCGGTGTCAGATTTTTCTTGGCAATGTGGAGAGCTTCGTCGTAGGCCCGTTGCGATTCGTGGATCATCTTCTGTCGCTCATCATCCGTGGTAACCTCCGTCAAATAGCGGTAGCTATCGCCTTTCATCTTCATGTATAATACTTTTGACTCCGCCGTGGTCGCCTTCGGAATGAGGAACTTATCGAGCAGGGTCAAAACTTCGTGACAGATGTCTTTGAGCTCTTTTTCGAGTTTCTCTTGTTGGAGTTTAGAAGCTACAGTTTTCTGTTCGGTGCTGTGAATGACTTGCCACGATGCACGACGAGGACCGACGACATTTTTGTAAGCCATCGAGAACAAGTTACTTTCCTCGTGTGTTAACTCTGCTTTTCTTGACATTACCACTTTTTTCATCGCAGCGAACATCATGTCATAGCTGTCGGCTTGTTCAACGAGCTTGGCCACCTGCACTTCTTCTTTGCCGTTCAATATGATGACTGGATTCTTGTCGCCGGCGATCTATTCAGTACTGTTTTCTTATTAAAGGTGAAAACAGAATTGAAAGTTTTATGGCTGTTGACCAAGGATAGGCGGGAAGTTGTATTTTTCAGAGGCAAAAAACAATTTTTGCTGAAAATGGTCACTTTCATAAGTTCGATTGTTTTCAGGCTAGTGCTGATACTGACCAACATCCCTCTACTCCAGACAGACAACTTAGTAAATTATCGTCTTGTCTATCAGATGTGATTGCTGTCGTAAATAGCAAATATATTGTACCTATTATTCTCTAATCTTTCTGCTCGTTCGTACACGTATAAACTGCTGCAAGATCTCCCACTCAGTCGCATGTACCGGTTACATCTATAAAGCTGATGATTTCGGAGAAGCCATTTTAAAAGATTTTTCTACGGACTCGCAGAATTTACTAATAACATAGGTCGCAGGGTTACAACTGATTTGCTCCAAATGGTTTGTGGTTCTTTTCATCCTGAGTTTTTGGTAAACTTAGAAAATTTCGACTATTATCTCTTCTGCAAGAAGCAAAACTGTACCTCCTCATTTGCCTCCGAATTATCGCTTGTCCACAGGCCTAGATTGTCTCGAAGGAGTTGCATAATGAGTGTGCTGTCTTTGTACGAGTCTTCGTTGAGTGTGTCCAGTTCCGCAATGGCATCGTCAAAAGCCATTTTGGCGAACTGGCAGGCATGATCGGGCGCGTTCAAGATCTCGTAATAGAAAATGGAGAAGTTGAGGGCAAGGCCAAGCCGAGTGGGATGAGTCGGTGTCAGATTTTTCTCGGCAATGTGGAGAGCTTCATCGTAGGCCTGTTGCGACTCGCTGATCATTTTCTGTCGCTCATCACTCGTGGTCACTTCCGCCAAATAGCGATAGCTATCGCCTTTCATCTTCCCGAAGAATACCTTCGATTCGGGCGTGTTCGCCTTCGGAATGAGAAAATTATCGAGCAAAGTCAAGACTTCATGGCAAATGTCTCTTAGCTCCATTTCGATTTTTTGTAGTTCCTGCTTGATGACTTCATTTGCTGTGTTTTTCAGTGCAATTTTGGAAGTGACTCGCCATGTTGATCGGCAGGCACCAATGACGTTCTGGTAGGCCACCGAGAACAAGTTTCTTTCTTCGTTCGTGAACTCCGCTTTCTTCAACATAGCCACATTTTTCATCGCATCAGCCATATCATTATAGCGTGCGGCCTGTTCGGCGAGCTTGGCCATATGTAATTCTTCTGTCTCGTTTGAGATCACTGCTGGCTTCTTGTTGTTCGTGACCTATTCGTTACAGATTTCGTCAGACGAAAAAACTTCCTTATATATTTGATGGTCACTATAGTAAACACCTCAAAACTGCTAGTGCACGTTTCCTTGAATATAACATACGTATGAAACCCTCCAGTATGACTCTCTGCCTTTTTGCAGCAAAAAATAAAATAAAATATTCTACTCTGGTAGATTTTCCTACTTTCTGTTAAAATAGAGATTTGACATTGTAGCTAAAGTTTTACTCATCTTCTTCTCCCTTCTATCGCCCTCAGAGCATTTCACAGTTATATTCATTCAGTAATCTGAATTTGACAGGAAAGCTTCTTCTACGCACTTTTCATAAAGTTCTATGGTTCTATCGAGTTAGCCGTAAAAGGGAAGGTCAAAAAATAAATGATACATAAGATTATATTTCTACCACAGACTTCACTGGAATGCGCTAAGTTTAATTATGTTTTTCTTATGGCGAAAACCTGGATTTGTAGAAACTTGAAAGAGGATTCATTTGAACTCGTGTTCACGTCTTTGCAATGAATATTCACGGACTCGTTGATGAAACATGGAGAGGACTATTTATTCTGAGTTACCGTTATTGTGATTGCGGCATAGTAGTCGAAAAACCCAAAGTGCTACAAAAGTTATGTTTAATTTTATCGTGTATTTCAAGGGAAAATCTGTAATTTTGTTGGACACTTCGATACCACGCGAAAAACGAGCAATTACAACCAGAAAAAAGACAAGCAAAATGTTCACTTACATAGGACGATTGGCTTGATTTTTTTGTGGTAGTAAAATCTAAATATAATTTGCTATTTGTTTATAGAATATCACGTATCAGAATGTATCATGTATTGACAAAACTTTTATCCCTCAATACTGTCGCAGCTATTTACAATTATGTTCCACTCTTTGTATGTACTCTCTTCTATATCTGTATGATCTAGTTATTCACTGTGCATCACTTTCAAATATCTCTAGTTCAAGATATTTGAAGTAGAATGATTGTGTTTCTTACCATTAATTTCGTCGCATGTTTCACTGCAAGAAACAGAATGCTAAATTTTATTTAGAATATCTCCTTTTACATACGATTCATCAGTATTGATCTTCAAATGGTGCGCTTCACATTGTTGTTCCAATACTTGTCGTTCTTCTGACGTTGCATTTTTCATTTCGATCATTATATCTGTATTGATTTTTTCAAATGAAATTCCAAATTCTAGTTCAATTTACTTACCATTTCGCATTTTATTTTCGATTTGATTTGCTTTTTCCGGTTCCTTGAATGCATAACGATACGTTCGTATGATTGACATCATCATATCAAATTTTGCATCGTCACCTGATCGATAAGAAATTTTTTCACAAAATTTTTCAATATCGACAATTAAATCTTGTTTTCTCAAAATCGATGCACTTTCGAGTGAAATACGAGCATCAATCAATTTCTGTTTCATCGATGTTAAATGTGACATATCACCATCCCATCCAATATATGAAAGTAAGTCGATATCCCGATCGATCATTACATCAACAAGACGAACGCCTATGAAATAAAGTACATATGCAAATATTCTAAATAGTTATACTTTGACGAAACCTGTTTGATGAATTTGTGTGGCATCACGTTCTTCGATAGCAACAAAACTCGTATATGGACTTATAACCGAATATTTTATACTTAAATCGATAAGATCTCGTTTATATTGAATTTTGATCAATTCATTCTCGCTCTCGTCGATATGCAATAGTCCATTATCGAAATCATCAATAATCGCTCGAGCAGTTAGACAATGTAGAATACGGCCTTTGGTCATTGTTATTGCACTACTAAATACAGTTGTAACAAATTCTTGTCCATTGATTGTTGCTGTCAATGTTGCCTTATGACAATTTCGTATAAATCGATAGATAGTAAGTTTCATTCCATTGAATAATGATCGAATCATTTTCGGAGCTTGACTATGGAATTTTTGTTGTTCATCCAAACTATTATCATGCCAATCGATTGATACACTTGTAACACATGGCTGTCGAATATGTTCGAGAATATTTCGTACTTTAATTTTCCATTTTGATCGATAATTCGAATCGAAAATGATTATTAAACCACCCCCACTTACAGCACGAGTTAATCTTTTCAAATCGTGTTTATTAGCAACATTACCAATAGAGCATGCAAATAGACGATCACGACACATTGTCGATTGATTTTCGAGTAGACCAAGAATCGATTGAAGATCGTGAATATGTCCATCGGATAGAAGAATAAATTGACGGGCACATTTCGATGATGATGGCAACAGAGAATATCGATAGAGAACAGCAAATAGATCCGTATTACCACGATGAACAAGTGAATGCTAAAATAGCGATGCACACATATACTACATCTAGGAATCATCCTGTTTAACGAACCAGAACAAAGTATTTGGCTTTATCAAGATTTTCTTTCGTTGCCGGTGCTGCGATTGGAAAACATTCATCATTATCTAAATAGTTCAAATTTGAATAATAGAAGTTCTATAGACTATTATTTTTCAAACCTGATCCAAATATAACAATATTGAAAAGTATTTTTTCATTGTCAATTGTCAAATTCGTTAGAAACAGATGAGTCAATTGTTTAGCTTGTTGTGCATGACTACCATCCATTGAATTGGATACATCGATGAGAAAAATAATTTCGATTGGTTCATTTGATTTAGTCAATATTTCGAATCGTGGATAAAATGTAAGCATACATGCTTGAGAATCATTATCATCATCATCAAACGACAATGTTTCATTTAACATTCGAGGCAAATTAGCATTTTTGAGTGTAATCGAAAGAACAAAATCTCGATCGAGTAAAATATTATCGACAAGTTCGATCATAGCTACACAATCGGTTAATTTTCGACGGAGACGATGTGTCGGGGAAAATAATTTAATTATTTCGTATGGCATTTGAATAGATGCTTTGAGACTAAATTCAACTTTTTCATCGACAATATCAATCGATCGTATTGTCGATTGATCTTTTGTTTCAATGACTTGTTTCGCTTGCCATGAAGCCATTTTGACTGGAAAACGAAAGATAATATCACCATTTTCGATTTCTAATTCGGCAACATAGATTATCTTAATAATGACTTCTGTATTTGCTGGCAAATTGCCAACAGCAACGCTGAACACTTCAGCCTGTTCTTGATGCATCAAATAGGCACCATGACCTTTTTCGATTGCTTCACGATATTCTTGTTTAGCTTGTTCTTTTTCTTTGACAATACCTTTGATTACTTTATTATTGATATGTGCTTCAAAACCGCATACTGTGGAGTTTTCATCAAGAGGAAATACGTATTTTGCTTCGATCGGTATTGAACTCGTATTGTGATAGACTTGATAGAGAACAACCTTTTATTTTGAAAACATGATGAATTATTATACGTCAATCGAACTTTGATTACCTCAACTATAGTATCGATAATTTGAGCACGAATGTGAAATGATTTAAGTGGTACAAGTTTGCCCGACGATGGACATACTAAACCATAATCCTGTTCGGCAACTTGAATGACTTCATCATCGATTGTCAATGGAACTTCGACTAGAGAGCAAAACAAAGCAAAAAATAAAACAGTCCAACATTATTCTAAAAAGGCACCCATTTAACTGTTAAGTAATTTGAAATAAAATCTCAGTAAAAAAAAAATGTTTTTCTAAGTAATTTATTGAAAAAAATTCTAAGTAAAAAAAGCATTTTTGCTAAGTATTTTATTTACATTCTCAATGGAAAAGTTTTTCTATTAAGAGAGCTTTGGTTATTTTTCGTGGTCGTCCTCGTTTTCGTTTTTCACCAATAGGTACATCCTTCTCTGGCGCAGGTGGTTTGCAAAATTTCAGTTTAATTGCCTTTATTGGTATAGTACCGACTCCACCGTCCTTCTTGTTTGATTGCTATTTAAGCTTCTGTATCATCAAAAAAGCTTGTCGCTTTCATCCAATCAAATTTACGTCTAATTATTTTCTTTTCTTCAATAACGTGCTGATCCAAATCCATTTCGTCATCAGATTCCGATGAACTTTCGTATTGTTGTGTCTCCACAAAATTTGCCAGTGTTGTAGATTTTTCGTAACGGATGATTGATTTATCAGTACAAAACTTTATCTTTATTTTCAAACGATCGCTACTTATATACGGAGACGTGAACATGCTATAGGAAAAAACCCAACGATACTTGGAAAGAAACATGATGAGATGGAAAAATACCTGAACAGTATCACAAGAGAAAAACGTTTGGAAAATATCTTAGTAATGAAACGGAAAGAAAAAAAGATATATATGTATATCGTATGCATCATCTGTATGACGGCAGAAAAGAGGATAAGAAGAGGAAAATATCCAATATAAGTGAATTCCACTATTCACTTGTTAATAATTTGTTTTCTTATATAGAAATTCAATTTTTTAACTTAATAATTAAATATTTTACTTGTATATTAATTATTAAACTTGACAAAAATTTTTCCTACTGAGAAATACTAATTTAACTGAGCATCCAACTTATTTAATGAGAATCTGCAAATTTTACTGAGCAAAATTCAACTTAGAATTTATATGTTTTACTTAGCAAAAAAAGATTACCCTTCTAAAAATAGAATCATCATTTACCGTATTCGTTTAATTTTAATAGATGTTGTTGATGGTGAATAATCGGTAATCGTTCTAATTTAATATTGAGAACATCGTTCGGTACCCATGAAACTTCGACAATGTAGAGTAAACGTTGTTGATCGAGTTCATAAATCGCATATTCGTTATCCTATTTCAACCAAAATAAGATATGTTAGAAAATGAATAGGACGTATGAACTAATTATTTCGGACTTTTATTACAAATAGTTTTTATTCGAGAGGGCTTGACGATGTCCTTAAAAACGGAACACGTACCATTCCCTAGCGGAATCCACTACCTCACACAATTTGCAGCTGTATAGTGATTGATATAAAAAAATATTTTTTATTAATAGTTAGCTAAAAAAATGACTGCTTAATAGGCATGGCACCAAGTGCACAGACATTGTATAAGGGGACATTGGCAGATATCAATTTTGATGACAAAATTTCAAGAATGATTTTTTCAACGAGATCGAATGAAAATACTTACAGTGAACATTGAATGATTCTCCTCCGTTCGTTTAACTCCGTGCGTGCTATGAAATCTATCGGGCGGCTTTGTTAGAGTCGGCGAAAACGAATAATAGTTAGCTGATTCGCCTAGTGCTACTTGACAAATGCATAATAATCGTCGACCGGGTCGTGTTGTGCTTGCCGTCGTATATTTAAGCGATGTGGATACAGAATCCGAAAAATAAATCCCATAACCAAGACAACCAATATCAACTCGCGTGACGCCTAATTCTTCGACTACTATTTTGGGCATGACCAGGCCACTGAATATACACAATTCAACTATCAATATTGTGTAGAAGAAGAAAAGAATTATACCGTGAAAGAATCCCAAGAAAGTTGTTGTATCTTGATCCATGAAAAAGTTGTCGTTGATTGGATAATGACATACGAAAATTGAGTGCATCCGTCTGTTTGGTCACACTGAATATGTGATGAATAACAACTCGTTCACCACTAGTAGATAACAAGTAAACTGGCATTATTCAATCGAACTAGAATTCTCCTCACTCATCCGTCGACGATTGAATTAGATCGACTATGGTCTTAAATTCGGGTGTAGAATCATCCAATGTTTTAATGTGACATTTCAATGCTCGATATTTGGCTTCGATCGATGCTTTTACATTCCAATTGGTGAGCTCATTTACTGTAAGCATATCTCGTAACATCTAAGCAATGACAAAATCAAGTGCAAAACAGCAAGAGAAATGATAACGCACTTGACATAAGTCAATTTTTTCGATCAATATTCGACGATTTTTTACAAGATCAACCTTGAATTGTCGTCGATGTGGAATCAGTGAATAGAAACGATGTACAGCAGCTGAATCATTGCTCGATTTGACTTCAAGTAGAGCAGCTTCCGCTTCTATGATCTATTTAATTTGCAACAAAATAATAATAATAAGTTGAATGAAAGCAAAAAACAAACACACCGTTTTCAAAGTGACCAATTCAGGTGGTACACTCAACATTGTATCGAGATCACCAATAGATTCAAGCCAAATGGATTCGACCAGTTGACATACATTCTCGTCGAGTATTTGTGTGTCGATACAATGTGAAAAGAAAGACTAGAACAAGTCTCACTAATTTGTTTTTTTCTTCTTTCTTAATGAATAGCTTACTTACACGTAGTAATAACTTGGATCCTAATTTATCCGGTAACATCTCTCGAATTCGTATCACACGTGGCATTGTGGCCACTCGATAATAATACGATGCGAACAATTGCTGTTGTTCATTTGAATTATCACCGAATGCATACTGTATCGATATTTGTTTGCCTTGTTCTTGTCCTTCGCCAGCAATTGTTTGCTTTTCGTATCGAAATCGTAGTCGATAGTCACTCGTTGTTCGATCATAATATTGTTCGGGGATAACTTGAAGTTCAAGAGCAAAAAAGACATCCGATTTATCATTGGTTTCCTATGTCATGAATAAAAACAAGTACGAAAAAACCACAACAATAGTATTGTACTTTGAAAATAGCCCATTTGCCAATTTCGCAATGTGTCGACTCATCAAATCGAGGCAAATTGGTGTCATCCGAATTCCATAGTTTGATTTTAGTCAAATCGAATTTGCTAATTTTGCTCGTACTTGTCGAAGATCCTATTCCACCTCCTAATCAAGCGACGATATGATGTTAAGAACAATGAAGAAAATTTACCTATGACTGGTATAGTACCAGTCTTTTCAAAATTTTCCTGATCTTCGACTGACTTAATGATAAATTTACTAATATCCGTGGCCATCTGACCAGGAAGTAGACGACGGCATTCGTACACATATTCAACATTGACCAGTGGCAAACCGAGCTGTTTGGCACGACGTGTCTTATAAGTATCCACATCATTCGTCACCAAAACGTAGTCAGTCTGAAAGAAAGAATTAACTTAAAAAACAATTGTTTGTAGAACAAATAAAAAACTTCATACACTAGCTGTAAGAATATATGAAATATAAGCTTGTTGTTCACGTAAATAGTTGATAAGCTCTTGTTTAGCTTTGAAACCTATTTCACCGCCAAGTTCGAGTACCAATGTTTTGCCTTTGAATGGTGACGAAAATGAAGAAGATGCAGTTTGTTTCATCTGAAAATAGTTTATAAATGATTTAATGGATCTACGTATGGAAAGCAAAAATCAAGCTGTTTTCAACATAATCATGTGGAGGTACAGGCAGTTGCTGTCGATGACTAATGCGTTTACCTACTATTTTGCTGAGAGTTAAACGAAAAAGGAATAACAACAACGCATGTTATTCATTTTTCTTTCTCCTAATTCTGCACGTGTCGTACATGTTGTGTGTTATTACACAAGTCAAAAGAAACAATCCTGCTATGAGAATGGTGAGTATGTTATTGATCGAAGCGTTTTTTTCCGCAATACTGAGTGTTTGCGTCAAAAGATGTCGCTCATTGACGCTAACCGTATTTTATTGATTTGTCTTTGATGTTCTTTCTGATCTCACGGTCATGGTTAACCGATTCTTTTTTTTTGTTTTGTTGTTGTTTTTTACCTTGATCATCGTTATTATCACTTTTCTTTATATTTTCATTTATTAATATTAACGACTCTCATATTAAAATATTTTATGCGGTGATGATCCTTCGCACATTTTCGAGTTATCCTTTGATTTAATCCTACGCTCTACGTCCCATTGCTAGTTGACGATACAATTTTGCTATCCTCATTAGACATCATAATCAGGGAAGTACTTGGCTATTGTACTTCGTTATAGTAAAAGATTCCATGCAATTGAAAATAACTTTCACTTCAATATACTATATTAAAGCTTGTGAACTTTTGAAAAAATGCGAAATCGCTATGATCAGATTTTGTCTTTTTACCCCAATATTCATTAATAATCGTGTTTCACAAAATTCCTAATCATGACCGACATCAGATGACTTATATCATCACAGCGTAGTCTCTAGGCAGAGGAAAATGGTTTCACCTAATTTATTTGGGTGGGTGTGGGTGGGGTGTGGGTGTGGATGTGTGGGTGGGTGTGGGTGTGGGTGTGTGGGGCGTGGGTGTGGGTGGGTGTGGGTGGGTGTGGGTGGGTGAGTGTGGGGTGTGGGTGTGGGTGTAGGTGTGGGTGTGGGTGTGGGTGTGGGTGCAGGTGTGGGTGTAGGTGTGGATGTGGGTGTAGGTGTGGGTGTTAATCTTCTTTTAGCAACAACAACACCCACACCCACACACCCACACCCACACACCCACACCCACCCACACCCACACCCACACCACACACCCACACCCCACACCCGAAGAATGATTACATGGAATTGCAGAATCTCGACAGGATTGAAATCAGGCTTTTATCAGAATCTAGAGAAGTCTACCAATAGATTTAGATCAGGAATTTGGCTCACCTAGAAGAACCATAAATCTTGAATGAAGCGTCTAGCCAGGAAATATTAAAGATTTTAGCGGACTTTGAACCAAGATCTTCAAGAATTCCTAAGCGATTTTTCATTGTTCTTTGAAAACGACCTTATTAGGTTTTAAAATTTCTTGAAAGAATTTTGTGAGAATTTTCTCAATAGAACAGAAAAGAAATGAACATATCGAGTATTCATCTCTAGACTTTTGATTTACAAGCCAATCAGCTTACTCGGCTAGACCTTTCCATGTTATTCATTCGATATCGTAAATCTCATATGAATTGTTACTTTACATTTGAATTTTATATAAACACAAATTGTCTGAAGAAAAGTTTGGGCAATGGAACATTTTATTACTGAGAAGGGGTATTTAAGAAAAAAATAAGTTCAATAACAGAGCGGATACTAACATCCTAATTTAATAATTTTTCAGATTCCATTAAGTATAAAATCGAAAATATCTTTTGAAGCTTTTGGCAAAATCTCCCCATTGACTTGTATAAACATTCAAATTAAATTCAAGCTAAAATCTTGATAAATTCCTGAATTTTTAGAAACTAGCCAGATAAGGAACAAGAATATAGGGAAGTCGTAATTATGAATTACAAAAAAGAAAGCAACATTCATTCCCAATCATTGCCTCTTCTCATCTTCGTAGTTCCGATCTTCAAATGACAAACATTGATTATGCTGCTACTCAATTTCTCTGTAACACAAAAACTCATCTGCCTTGTTTGTTGGAACTTAAAACTATATATGAATCACTAGCTAACAATGATAACAAACAATTTTAGCGATGATGTAACACATCTCACTTGTGTTCATTTGCAATCTCTTTTTTATACATGGCTCATATATTCGTCTAGAAAATTTTCATACATATTTTCCTTCATATTACACATGTAATTTGTCTTAAAATTTTTTGCAATAAAAGGAAATACTTTAATAAATTTGGTTATTGAGTTTTTTCATGATGAACTGTATTCACTGCAGAAATCAGCAATATTCGATAAAATAATATCTTGAGGATAAAGATGTAAGATTTCTTTTATTTCTTTTAATTAAAAATAGAATTAATCAATCAAAGATTAAGTGGTAAACATATCTCGTCAATAGTTTCTACCAATAATAAAAAGTAAACTAAATTCTTCACTATGTACTTTATTCGGATGAGTATGATGACATTGATGAACTCGTTGAATTTGTCTTAAATATATATTCGATGTCTTGTTATTCCAGATCCTATTCCAAGATGTAATGGTGAGAGTGTGAACCAACCAATATAAATTAATGTGAAAATTACATTAAATATGTCATTAAGTTCTAATGTCGAATGAAGAAGAGTTCGAGCGTGCTGTGCTTTGTGAATGAATCAACAGAGATTTGTGAAAATGATAGTTGTGGAATATGTATGGAATTAATTCCATACTAAGAATTTTTATAAGTAAAATATAAAAAGATCATTCAACATCTATATAAGCACTATTATCAAAATCAAAAACTAGCTTGAAAAATAATGACTACATATTAAATGATTACCTTATATCAATAATGGTTTTGATCTGTTTATGCTCGATTGCGGTACAAATGGTTTTAATTGTCTTTTTAAAGCTTTTTAGTTTCAGATGAATTGCCATCTATAATTGCAGTTGTATATTCATAGCCAATTTTCTCTTGTACAATTCGTTTCATATTAATGATAATGATGTTGAGAGTAATTTTGTAATCGTATGTCTATTAGTATGTTGTCTGACGAAAAAAATGTAACTAGAATCACTAATTGACTACATGATGCAGTACCAGTGACGACATCTAGTTTTACATATTCACATCAGAAAAAATATTATTATAGAAATACTCTATATTAAGTTCTCTTTTAATCCGTATATTTTATTTTCGCCCAAAGTGAGTTTCATGCGGAAGATGTCCCTGCACTACGCCTTTTTAAGTAGTTTCATAGCAATAAAGAGGAGGTTTTATCATAATGATAAAGTGTGTAATGGCATCGTTGTAAATGGTGTGCTGGCTTTTCACTGACACACTGTCATTCATATGAATTGCTTTCTTTTTACCAGCTGCAAACTATCATTATCAATATTATTGTTCTTGTTCATTTGATCCTGAAATTATTTGATTTTTCACATCATCATTAAAAGGCAACAGACCTAAGAATTTCTAGACTGAGATTTGGTTATCACAAATTTTCATACACATTCAAAATTTCCTACCAGGGCTGATTGTTAGATGAATCAGTGCTGCACATCTTCATGAAGCCCTGTCACACATATTTCATTATTTTCCTTAGTTCTGAAAGAAAATATTTTCATATTGAAAAAGAATATTAAAGCTATCGATAAATTAAGAATTAGTTATATAAATATATTAAAAACAAAAATATCAACGAACAAATGTAGTCGAAAGATTCAGTGGCGGATCTAGCATTTTTATAATGTGGGGCGATTTGTTGTGATTAAGGGCACTTTAGTGGAGGAGACTAGGGGCGATTATGATCATAGAACGTAGTATCAGCTTATTTTTAAAACTTTTCTGCTGGGAAAAACCGAAAAATTTTTTTTTGAACTAGGGGCGATGTTCCCCATCGTCACCCCCCTAAATCCGCCACTGGAAAGATTAAATTAGTTTTAATTCGATATGATCATGATGATTGACTGCAAACTTTGCAAAGTAATTCTGGTAATAACAGACACAGACTTTTTTAGAAAAAACCTCGTGAATTCGTTGAACACAAAGCTATGCAATCTAAAATACTAGCCTATTCGAACTAAGTTATTATTTGACCCGAGAGTTTGAAATGAATGTTTGCAATTTATTTTCATCAGTTGGTAGGGTGGGGTGTGGGTGTGGGTGTGGGTGTGGGTGGGTGGATGAGGGTGTGGGTCTTTTCTTCACCCACATCCACATCCACATACCACGCACCCACACCCACACCCACACCCACATCCACATACCACACACCCACATCCACATACCACACACCCACACCCACACCCACACCCACCCACATCCACATACCACACACCCAC